CAATTTCCGTTATTTAAGGTTACCGTGTAATTTGTCCCGAAAACCATACCGGTGATAACTCCACCTGCAACTACCGAAGGTCCACTTGGAGAAAATAAATAATTATTGCCTGAGGCGTAATCTTGAATTCTAGCGGAACCTGCACTAGAACAGGTGGCCGATGTCGTAACAATTGTTGGAGCTGCTGCGGCAGAAACCACTTTTATTAGTACTGCATTTGAAATAATTTTACCGCAACCTCCGTATTTATAAATAGCACGGAAATAGGTGTCTTGGGTTAAAACTCCAATGGAAGAACCAGGTAAAGTTACTGATGTAACAGTGATATCCTGTGGATTAGAAAAATCAGCATTTAAAGATCTCTGCCATTTTATCACACCTTCCGTATTATTACTTAAGGTCAAATCGTTTGGCAGGTTACCCGTACATACTGTCTGATCTGACTGCACCACTGAAGGTCCAGTGATGGGTTTTACAGTTATCGTAAATGGATAATATTCGCTTGCACAAACCGGATAAGATGTCCTGACCCTTACGTAAGCCTGGTAGCTCCCAACACCAATACAGTAAGGTACATTTATCCCAAGCGATCCTGAATTTCCGGAAATATTTCCGTTGGCATTGGTAAATCCTGCTGACAACGCTGCATTGTCAAACACAATATCATATTCTGTTCCGTTGTTTGACGAATAAGGAACCTGTACCACTGTAGCAAACTGCGTAACAGAAGTATTTCCCGCAACTGTAATAGATAATGACGGATTAACCACCACACTAAACGGCTGCGAGGCAACCTCCGGACAATTTCCACTTCCTACCACAGCACGATACTCCCAAGTACCGGAGACCGAAGGATTTTCTGAATAAACTGTGGTTGTATTATTAATAGCAGTCCAAGTAGCAGCGTTATTTAATCTTTTCTCCCATCTTAAAACGGTTCCAACATAACCACCCCCTAAAGTCATATTTCCAGTAGACCCGTTCAAACAAATTGGTGTATTCCCGCTATAAACACCACCGCCTACAGGAGTTTTATTTACCAAAATAGTTGTACCCGTATCAGTTGCCGCTTTAAAATTAACATTTGTTGTTGCATTTGCAAAAGCATAGGTAATAATATAAGGTGTTGCATTTGAAGGCAATGTTGCTGTATTAAAAGTGACCGTGAATGCGCCTGTGTTTCCTGTTACTGTAGCATTTTGCGTTACACCATTAATGGTGACCGATACCTTTTCACCTGGTAAAGGATAAACTCCCCCTCCACTTACGGTTCCGCTCAATGTTGTTGTAGGAGTCCCAAAACAAATACTTTGACTAGCGGCTAAATTTGAAAAAACCGGTGTGGGTCTTGTATCATTGGTAACGGTAACAATCCCTGTTGTGGCCTGAAAGTAGCCATCATCCTGATACTTGGCAAGCGGAGCGGCGGTAGAACCCCAGGTTCCATTTATTTTTCTATAAACTCCTAAAGTCAGACTGCCCGCATTGATATTCGTTTTATCAGCAATACTTGCTTTCACTCCATTGCTGATGGATAAATTACCTGCAACAGATGTTGTATTTGAAGTTGACTTCACCCCACTACCCGAAAAAATAAGATTATTATAAGCCGTGTTATGGACATTCTGATCCGCACCATTGTAATTTACAGTACTGTTTGCACCATTTAAAACAATCACGTTTGTTCCTGTTTGTGACAACTTGAATGAATCAACATTCCCTAACAATAAAATACCGGACTGCGAACCGGAAGCCATACTAAACGTAGAAATATTATCTGAGGTATTTTTTGTCTCAATTATCCCCTTTAATTTTAGTACGCCACTTTGAAGATAAAAGGCAGCATCATTTCGTCTGTTTTTATTTTGTGCATTAGTCAATATATTTATATTGCCAGTTATATTTAAGTTGGAAATTGTAGAATTTAATTTAGACGTATAAATGCCGTCAGATTTTATATTATCCTGTGTTCCTACAGTGACGTTTAAAGCATTTATCATTCCTGATCCTGAAATTTCTGCCTCAGAATCTTTATCTTGTAATGAATTGAGCTTAACATCTCCAGTGACAGTAAGCGTAATACCCGAATTCACTGTGAGTTTTGCAGCTGTGCCCGTAAAAG